TTATTATTTTTATATTAATGTATTATATGAAATGAATGTTCCTTCCTTGTGTTCCTTGTAAAACAACATGTTGTTCTTATATGTTAAACATTTAGCATTGTGTTTACATGTGTGTATTTGTGTATGGATGTTGCAACAGAGCTTTAGCAATAATGTATTTAATGTCATGCTAATAAAGCTATTGAACTAAATTGAATTGTTAGATTAATAATCCAGAAATTTGAAAAAGTAGATTTGTAGGACTATAAAACATAGACTAGTTAATATCGAAATGTTTGATTACAAATATGACTAAATATTACTAACATTGTTTCTCCCAAATGCATGTTCTTAAATATGATGGTTACTCTGCTTTAAGCCAACATAAAGATAATAGACCCTTTTCTCTGTCAAAATATTTAAAGTATTTATATTTACACAGCACATTTTATTTTGTATCTATTGTCTAATCAATCTAAAATACCTTTATGTTATCAGACAAGATTCGTATTCAGAATAAAGCTATGGATTGACAGGACATTAAAGTCCATATAAGCAGTTTAATACACACCAAAAAACATAAAACAGACACAAAAGCACAGATAAAATCATATTGCAATATTCAATTGATAACATGTAATATAGCAGCACTGACTGGTCATGTAAATGATCTCTACTGGGTGCATTAAAGATATGTTATCCTGCATTATCTTATCTTATGTAATGGCCATTGTCGTGTTTGGTTCAACTTGTTTGCAACCTTTTATGAAACCTGAAATATAACTTACTCAAACATTTATTTAAAAAAACCAAACCTCATCAGTGGTGAGAGATATTGGAAATAAACTCAAAGACAGCAACTGAGGAGGGATCCGTGTCCAAACACTGATATGAGTCCAATATATGTCATTATACAGAATGAACAACATAATAAAATGACAACATAAACAAAACAAAAACTGGATTACTGCAATGAGCTGTACATTGGAGTAAACCAGGCTTCCCTGTCTCGCCTATCTGGTCCAGAATGCTGCTGCAACGCCTCCTTACAAGGACAGGCAGGCGTGAACATATTACGCCTGTACTCGCCTCTTGACATTGGCTACCAGTCAATTTGAGAATACACTTTAAAATGTTACTATTTGCATACAAAGCCTAAACGGTTTAGTCCCACTGTACCTGGCAGATCTTTAAAAAATATACACACCCACACGCAGGGGCGCCGTAAGGGGGTGAAAAGTTAGGTCGATTCTAAGGGCCCGTGACTGACAGGGGCCCAAACTATTTTAGAACATTAAGAAAAAAATGTTTAAGTAACCAATGTGATATCTTTTCATGGGGGCCAAAATCCCTGGCAACGCCCCTGCCCACACGGTCACTGAGGTCTGCTGACAGACGCCTTCTGGTCGTCCCTACTGTAAATCAAGGTTGAAGCAGCGAGAAGCCTTTGCTGTTGCAGCTCCAACATTATGGAACAAATTGCCCCTCCAGGTTAGACTTGCTCCAACTCTGCCTGTTTTGAAATCTCGTTTAAAAACCCACTTATTTTCCGTGGCATTTACAGACCAGGTGACACTTGTGTTTTTAAATTTGGGTTTATATCTTACTAGTGTTTTGTATTGTTTTTATGTAGGAGAGTTTTTCAGTCTGTGGCTTCTGATCTGGTTTCAGTGTCTCGTGTTTTACATTTGTTTCATGTCCTGTCCTGTTTTTTAGTTATGCTATGTTTTTATAGTTGTTGATGTACAGCACTTTGTTCAACTCTGTTGTTTTTAAATGTGCTATAGAAATAAAGTGGATTGGATTGGATAATGAATTAAGAACAATTTAATCAGGAAATAATTGGAAACCATCTCAGATATCATTCAACCATTTGGATAGGCTAAATGTGACATACAAAGTAAAAACAAGTGAATAAATGCAGTTATTTCCTGCAATTAAAAAAGAACCCCAGGGCTCAGGTTTAGGCCCCATGTTTTTAACGCATCTCGAGCAAATAAAAGATAAGCCACTTCCTTTTTAAATATTCTGTATCGTTCTTTTCCTTTTGTGGGCTCTTTGTGGATTTTCCTCCTTACTTTGTGATTTGTAAAATGCTCTATCTACTTAAATGTGTGGGTCCTTGCATTTATTGCAATATTTCATGTATCATGTTTCAATAAATGCACGCTTAAAGATAAAATATATAAAAAATGTGTGACACAATATCTCTCAAAGAGGAACTGTTATTTGTTTTTTAATGCCGTGGGTGACATTTTCTCAACATGGGATAGTGTGTAATCCTCTACTTTGTGTATAAACATTAACATTCAACATTTTACGACACAATTTCCTATAGTTTAAAAAGCATTTTCCATTTAAGAAAGAGTCAAACCTTAGACACTTAGAGGTTGGTGTGACTGGGAATTAACCGCCTCTACGTTAAACAATATCAAATGTATTTGTATTTAATTGCATAGCTTCATAATGTCTTATTTTAAAGCTTGTTTGTTGCAGTTTGAGGTCATTAACAGGATGTTACTTTAATAAGGAAGTGATCAAATAACATTTTGATCACTTCTGCTATAAAAAATACACCCAGAAGGGAAATTAGATAGGCTAACACTTCAGTTGAGTGCTTAAATTGTAAACACAACAACGCTATCAAAAAGCAGGTTAATAGCCATGTGATTGCTGCCCTAGGTTACGTCAAACTATAAAATAAAAGAAGTAAAATCTTATTTATATTCTCTTTTCCTTCCTCTTTGGGGTCTCGACCCAGACTTTGAACATTGGAAACACTCAGTGAGTCCAAGGCTGGAAATGAACCTTGAACCGCAAAACAAGCACCACACACACACACACACACACACACACACACACACACACACACACACACACACACACACACACACACAGAAACACACACGCTCACAAGTCACAACCACCATTTCCTCAAATAAATGACTTTTATTGGGGCAATATAGACGGTCTGCTGTCCCTCTCATTCTTTCTCTTGTCTCACACACTAACTCTGTGTGTGTGTGTGTGTGTGTGTGTGTGTGTGTGTGTGTGTGTGTGTGTGTGTGTGTGTGTGTGTGTTTGTGTGTTTTTGTGGTGAAAGGAGATGAAAGGAGGGATTGTGTTTCTGTTTGGAACTAAAAGGCATTCAACCTAATGACCCACAATAAAATGGACCTTAAGAGCCTCTCTCTTTTTTTTTAACAACACAGACACATTTAAACATATATATTTAAGTGTTTCATATTATTGCTGAGATATGTTTTTTTGCTTTTTCTAAATAAAATAAATAATGTATAAACATTGATCGTATAGTTTCTTTTTATATTTCATGTTAAATATTATTCATGTATATGTAATAATTGTATTATACATTTGTATTTTACATTTGTATATGTGGTCTTATTGGTCTATTATAACTGTTTGATGTTGTTTATTTTATATTGTGTACTCCAAATACTTATTCATGTATGTTTTACTCATATGAATATACTGTATTTACTGTTCATTTTGTATTTATTTGTAATTTTAATTCACGTCTGTTAACATGCTGCTGTTACAAAACATTTTTTTTTATTTAAGGACATTATTTAACATATTAAATGTGCCAAATATAGACAGACACGTTATTAATATTCTTTGCAGTCCTTGGCATGTTGATAGCATTCATAACCAAAAATAAACAACAAAATAAAATCAATAAAGTTTTGTTTTGACTCATCCGGACAGCAGGTGGCGCTCCACGTGCAGACAGCGATCAAGGTCTATGTTAGAACGTGAATCTAAGCCCCGCCCCCATTATATGCTGCAGCCAATAGGATCTCACTGTCACACTCAAACATGGGCACAGAAACGGTGAATGAGCAAAGTCATTAAACTCATCTGGCACAAGGCCAAATATGGATTTTTAGTGCATAGCTTTCAGTATTTCAGAGCTTCTAAATATGTATGATATTAAAGTTATATGTATATATTGTTCTAATGTCTATTCTATTTTTTGTTCATTCTATTTTACGCATATCGCATTGTTGGAGGAACCTGCAAAAGAAGTATTGCAAAGATTAGCTGTAGCTGTTTTGCAATTGACAAATTAAGACTTTGAATCCATTGAATCAGAGGGTGCAAAACATGCACTTTCTCAGGTAATCTATTGGGTTATTTAACTTAAGTCACCTAGTTTTTAGTCAAAATTAAAACTCACAAAAGTTGGAGATGAATGGTTTTCACGGTACAAAAAAGGGTGTCAACCAAATTACATCCAAAAGAAATAAAATACTTTCTTTTTGACATGCATTTTACAACAGTGGGCAAAATAGTCAATGAATAATTAAGAAGGTTACGTCGTTGAGTACGCAAGGAAACAAATAACAGCTTTTAAAACAAGTGCACTGACACAAATGCAAATAAAAACATACTGTTGTTTTTGGTTAGTAAATGCAAAAAGAAACTCACGTTAAATCGCCATCCATGAACTTCGATGGCGAGTTTTCCCTCAATTCTGTCAAGAAAGACACAAACATGCGTATAAAGTCAGATCAAGACCAAAGAAATCAAAGGAAGTCCATCCCTCTTCTGTGAATCTAAATCCCGTTACACTTTAAAACGACATTTAGGAGTTTTATCATCAATTATAAAAACACAAAGCCTTCATTAACAAAGTGGTTTGGCACAAGAAGCTATAGAGACAAGGCCTCTGTTATACTGAACACACACACACACACACACACACACACACACACACACACACACACACACACACTCGCTCGTAAACGACTCCCTGTTACTTTTTTATTCTGCTTGTAAAACGGTGTTTCAGGAACAGAGTTTTATAAAGCCATAGCGCTACAGTCAGGCCATCTGGCAGCATGCTGGAGGCTACGATCACATTTCTGTGCACAAAAGAAAGATGAGATTTATTTCCTATACTGGGTAAATACAGTCCAACCATGTGATCAGTGGAATAACCAATAAGCAGCCGAGGAGAAGGTAAGGGCAGGAAAAAAAAAATACTACCATTTTAGGGGAGGATGTAAGCCCACTATACCAGCCCCATCTAACGTTTTACAGTCGCACTTAAGTGTCTTTTTATTGAAATAATAAAATAAACATGTCGCTAACGAATTATTATTCTATGATGGGGCTCCAGACTGAGGAGCCGTACGGTGCGCATTTCATCCCGGGAGGCTTGCAGGGTTCTTCGGCCGGCTGCGGAAAGCCAGCCCGGAGAGGAGCGGAGGAGGAGGAGGAGGGGACCCCCATCCCGGATTTTTCACATTTTTCCAACAAACAGACGGGCTTAAATGGCTTTTCTCCCTGGGCCAACACCTCCACTTCCTCTGCCCCTTCTTCCCCGCAGCTGCAGTCCAATCCGGGCCTTTTTCATCCACATCCACACCTCCTGAGCCACCACCACCACCATCACCACCACCCGTGGACGCAGCAGAATCACGCCGAGCACCTCGCCTCATCGGCGGCTTCAGAGAGCAGATTCGTCCGCTGTTGGGAGGGTTCGACCCCGGCTTTGGAGACCCCTTTGTCCCATGCATCTGATGGGTTTTCCGGGTGTGTCCCCGCTCAGGGTGACCTCTCCGATCCAACACCGACGTATGCGGCGGTTAAACCCGAGAGTTCACCTCCGTCCGACAGCCCCGAGGAATCCAGCTTCAACAGCCCGGCTGAGGTGATCCTAGAGCGGCTTGGCACCGTGGAGGAGCTCGTTAAGAAGACGGAGCCCAAGAAAGAGAACGAGGAGAAGAAAAAAAATCCTATGATAGACCCGGGTAAATATACCGAACTCAGGAATGTTTATTATAGCGTTTTAGAGGTGTCAATACACAGGTGTGTGTGTGTGTGTGTGTGTGTGTGTGTGTGTGTGTGTGTGTGTGTGTGTGTGTGTGTGTGTGTCTCAGTGTGTGACACAGAGGGAGAATGTGGCCTAAGTAAGCTAGTAAGTGTGTGTGACTTTTATAGGCCTATAAATGTCTTGTAAACTGGGAAATGTTAAATGTTATTGTCCATTAAAATAATTAAGGTGCTATAGCTGTTATTTAACTACTTGTCACTGCGTTTTCTGAGCCGATGTGTGCAGAAAATTGACGTAAATAAGTTATTTATCTTGCATTACAGGAAGGCTTAAAGCGTATTTAAACAAAACAGTCTCTGTAGAAACGACCTTGGCAATTTAGTGTATAGAATCATAATGTAGCATGCCTCAAAAAGCATTAAATAACCTTTAAAATAATTATAATATTTTAAAAAGCTTGAATTACAATAAACAAAAAGGACAGACAGGTCTTATAATAATCAAACAAATGCCATAAATAGTAATAATAATAATAATAATAATAATAATACAAATACATTATACTGGCTTTGCTATTATTTTCAATTATTTTTCCCACCCTGTTATTAGCCATATGTTAAATGTGTTCAAAGTGTTTCTAAATTCAATTGTATTTAGTAAAGAGGCCATTAAATCCTATACATTTCTGTTAGATTTCCATTATTTTAAATAGCCACAATTCTACTTATTCTTAAACATGGGCCTACACCTGTGCCAGCCTGAAGGCAGTTCCTTAAAAATAAATGATGGAGAAACAAAGATGTCCTCTCTGCAGAACGAGTGTGTGTAACAACCCAAAGCTGCTGTCTGTTGAGTTATCACACTGCACTCTTTTTGGCTGTTTCTTTTTTATTTTAAAGTGGCCGATAAAGCATTTCAGATCAGGCACTTTCAGATCCTCCAGACTGCAGTTTAATAATTCTAAAATTGAGTGTGGCTTTTCACCAACACACCGCCTGCACTCACACACAGATTTAGACTTTCCTCTGTATTTATTATAGCTTGGTGTCCTCCCAAAAACATGTCTATATCTTAGGTCTACCTATCTGCAACGTGTTTTTTACATAACTTCACTTTATGGTAAATTATTGAGGAAAGGGTGAAATGAGGACATAAACAGCCGTAGTGCTCATACCAGTGTTTTGCTAATAGGAGCAATACGGAAAAATAAAGAATGTGATGGATTAACACTGTCCTTATTTACAGAGCTGGGCTTCTTTTAATTTGTAATGAGCCAAAAGTTGCAAGCTCATAAAATGTGTTCCTGATAATGTTTTCACACACACACACACACACACACACACACACACACACACACACACACACACACACACACACACACACACACACACACACACACACGCAATTTGAGCATTTTGGACTTGACAACAGAATTAGCATCACCGTTTTTTTAAGAAAAACATTTAATGGTAAAGTGGCATTGTATGTGCGTGTGTGTGTGTGTGTGTGTGTGTGTGTGTGTGTGTGTGTGTGTGTGTGTGAGTGCAGTGTGTATTTTGTTGTCATTGTTGTTGCTGCTGCTGTGTACAGTATATCTGTTGTTTAATGCGAATCATGATGTCACTCTATAAACTCACAAACTGAAATGCACACCAACACACACACACATCTACATAGACACACAGTCAATGACACACACACACACACACACACACACACACACACACACACACACACACACACACACACACACACACACACACACACACACTGCAGATGGAAATGAGCTATTATAATCAGGTGTAATTCTTCTCTTCTCTGAGATGAATGTATTGTACGCATGGTCCTTGTTGAAATAAATACATAATACATTTCGTTTTTTTAAACACATGTTCTGTTGCCGACTGAAAACCAGCTTGCCTCCACAGCATCTTGGCCATTAAACCTTTTTTGTGAAGTAGTACTTAAAAGGTTTTAGCTCATTTGAAACTAATGCTGCAGCACCTACATGGCTCATCTAAAGTGAAGCTCTGCATGTGTCTTGCTGTTCTGAGTCTGTATCCTCATGCTTTATTGCACTAATTATAACTCTCTTTGGATGAAAGCTACATTAAAACTCACCGC